ATACTAATTTTAGTATGCAAAACATAAATAGAAATGTAAATTTTTAACCCATCCCAACCTTTGGACGCCCCACTACGAGGGCCGGGGAGGGCCGGGTAGCTCTTTTAAGTAACAGCCTGAAGTGTAAAAAAGAAAAGGAGAGATAAACACTAGGCAAGATTTCTCATTCATCTGGAATGTTTTTAGTTAATACATAATTGCTCGTCATAATCCACACACATAATATCATATTCTCGCTACCATCAGAAGTCAAATCATCAAAATTTCCCCTTAAAATTTGTAGTCTGTATATTACTCGCTCATGTCGTTGTCTCCTTCGAGATCGCCAAGACCACCAAAAGCTTCATCAGAAGCCTCGTCGTCTTCGCTGCTTTCGTCAGTTTCCATGGCGTCTTCAGATTCCTCTTCATCACTTTCATCTTTGTCCTCAATAATAACTGGCACGATTGCGTCGCTTTCATCCACTTCATCGTCAACAATCTGTTGAGGAAAAAGCTCCCGTAAGTAGAGAGCTACAAAAGCTTTCAGGCATAATATTAGTGTACGAACACAGAACTTACCCCTGCATAAAGCACGTCCAACACACTTGAGAGTTGAAGAGCCGATCGGAAAGTGGACACTCTGGATTCTATGAGCTGCATATGAACCAAAATTTCCATTTTTAACCGGGAGAAAGCAAAAAGTAGAAAATAAAAAAATTCTTGCAATTTAATGAAAAATATAAGATGGGACAGCGTCACTCCCATAGAAGTGCACATGGTCCCTTCTTAAACAAACAGTTCTTTTGTTTTTTGGATAATCTTTAGATAGTACCTGATACAAAGAGTTCAAAGCAACTAAAGAAGATTCCTGGGACATTATTCCACTTGAATGCTGAAGAAGTAGGCATCTCAGCCATGGAAGGGCACAGGCCAGGATTGCACCCCTGGAAAAAATATAGGAATTCATTAGGCTGGATAAAAGTAGCAGTCAGGACACAGAAACACAGACTTAACTTTTCCAGAACAAGAACAAGAAAGGGACAAAGAATATTGGATAAATCAAGCCCCGTAAGCCACTTCCAAATTATCCAGCTAGAATGTCTACACTTGCGAATCATATGAGATTTGAAAGTGAACCCCAAACAAAATGAGCAACTGGGATGTTATAGTATAAGCCATAACCTAAAAAATGATTATTTGAAACCATCGAAGGGTACAGCCTACTGCATAATCTTTACCTTGACTGAATAATAGATATGAGGGACTGTAAAAGCTTTAAAACATCTGATGGATTCAAGAGTGAGATTGATTTTGCAATAACCTGCAACCAGAAATTGAATTGTTTATATTAACTTTGACGTCCATCCGTGTGTTCTGAAACAGCTAATAATATGGCCCAAGGGGGAGAGTCAGGGGATACCTTTTCATCTTGGGTGTACAAGCAATCTAACAGAAGCGCTCGGTCATCAGCATGCATTGCTTGCTTAAGCAAAACATGAACAGAGTCTGCACTAGGAGGCTTTGCAGCGAGAGAAGACTCATCATTTTCGTTTCTCTTTGCTATATCTAAATTTAAAGTTGCGAGTTTTTCCCCCATGGTTGGTTCATTTAAATCATCGTCATCAAGAAGAACTCCGACGGCAGCCTCTCCGTTACCTATTAATCAGGGTACAATTATCATGCAAGATAAAAACTTGATCAATTATTGGACTCCATGAAATACATACTGTTCCAGATCTATCATACAAGTTTGAGGCAAATGTGAAGGAGCAACGTAAGCATGTGATAAGAAAGCAAATTTGTAAAACTAGGAAGATTTAGCTTTCAAAAATTGCTTTTTCCAGGGACCGGGATAGGGGGAAGGGGTTATGTACTTTCTCCAACCAAGAAAACCCTTACCAATGTCAATCATGTCTCCCAGAGTTGAATGTTCTAGCTCAGACACAGTGTGCTTCTTACGTTTTTCACTTTTCTTTGGTAAAACTGTTGCTTCTAAATCCATATCATGGAGATCTGTGATAAAATATTCAGTAATGGCTTCAGAAAAGGTGTCACAACTAAAAAAAATTCCTAGAAGCAGGAATTCCCAGAAAGATAACTGTCACATATATACAGAGTGTTGGAATTGCAGCATATATGGATGATGGCAGTCAGAAAATAAGGAAGCACCATGGAGATCCACAGGCAGTCTGCAGAGCAAGACTCAACTACGGGCAGATATTTAAGGTGGGTGGCAGCTAGGTATAAAGAGAGGGAGGGAGATGTTCTCAGAAAATTAAGAAGCGTTGGGGCTTTATCTCTGAGCTAAAACATCTAATAAGCTATTAGAACTTACTCCACAAATTGGATAAAGAATAAAGATACGATGAGCCATTAGCAAACTTCATGTAGATATAGACCATATACTAAAACCTCCTCAACAGTCAGCAAATGTCAACGCAAAACAGACAAAAGTAGGTTAAGGGACGAGGAACAGAAACAAAAGAAAACTTAATTACACCTTCTCTTGCAACCC